ATGGAACAAAGTGCAGAGGGAAAAGGAAGAACTGCCCAAGAAATGCAGTGTTGTTTTATCCAGATTTCCTGAACTTTGGGAGGCTCAGCCCTGAGTTTCAGAGGCGGTTCCATCAGGTCCTCATAATCAACATCTGCCTGGTAATCAGGAGCACAGTTCCATGCAGGAAAAGCATCCCTGTGCAATAAGCTGCAGCAGAGCAGCACAAGCCCTGCCTGCAGCAAGCATGCATAAATAAACAGAATTAATAACTACCCAAGTGTGGACGGGTGACTTAATCTGTTTCGATTAGATGCAGCTCAGCCCGAGGCCTTTGTGTTATTTAAAATGTGTTCATCATGTTTAATTAAAAACCTAATAAACTAGAGCTTCTTTTGGTTCTGATTCGTCTCTCTCTCTTCTGGAAGGCCTATTGATTTCTTTAGTAGTTTTGATAGAAAGAGAGAGGGGGAAAAAAAGCACATTCTGGGCAAAGAGACGACGAGGTGAGATGGAATCAGGGCTGGGGGGTGAGGAACAGTCAGAACCAGCTGGTTTCCTTCCACACTTCCAATGCATCAGGAATGCCAGAGGAGAAAACCATTTAAATGAACAAAACTTAAGGTGACCATGGCATCCTTTACAAATTATAGCCATTGGATAGGTTATTGATCTGAAAGGGAAGCTCATTTTTGGACCTGGAGCAAGTGCAGGGGTCAGAATTGTACTGAACATCCCTGGAAGTGTAAAAGCAATTTTGCAGAGAAGATTTTCGCCCCAAAGATGTGTGGAAATTTCATAAGGACAGTTTGTCTTGGGAGATATTTCCACTGAAACCACGCCAGGAAATATGGACGTTGAGTTTAACCTGAACTGAAAGAAGTTAATGATCATGGTTCCAAATCTGGAAGCTGTAGAAGGTCCAGAAATGCTGCAATCAGGGCAAGCACCAGAGTAAACACAGGCACTGCTAAGTTTGCTGTATTTATTCTCCATAAACACCAGGTCTGCATGTTCCAAAACACAATTTCCAGGTCAGTTTTGAAGTATTTCCAACTGGAGAAGAAGAAGGGACCAGCACCATTCCATTCTTAGGAGGGATTTCTGATTGCTGGTACCCAAAATTAAAAGATTTCTGATTGCTGGCACCACAAAAGAGACAGTTTTTGAGGTGGCCACCAGCTCAGTGCTCTGACTCTGCCACCCCCTGCTTCGAGTGGAGCATTTTGATCTCTTGGTGTGTTCCAAGTCAGACAATCCCAGTGACATCCAGTGCCCCTTTTCCCAGGTACCCTGACCTGCTCCAGCAGAGCCAGACATGGAATTCAGTGGTAGGGAGCTTGGAAAAGGTGCCAGCTGGATCAAAACCACATGACTTGCTCCGAGGCTTCTCCCCAAATAACCCACCTCCTCCAAGCTGCTCTGCCTCCTGCCTGACACTGCAGCCTCACACTGAGGAGATCCCCCCAGGTGATGCTGCTCGGTGTTGGGGAGTGCTCACAACGTGCCCAGAGAAGGTTTTATATATGACAATTGCTCCAACTTGTCCACAGGAGTAAATTCATGAGCATGACAAGAGAAACCAAGCCCTCCTCGTCAAATCACTGCTGGGAATTGATGTTGTCAGGTGGAGAATGAGCCCTGACAAACAGGAAACAGCTGCTCTCAGGGCTGCATTTAGACCCATCAGGGAAGAAGTTGCTTTGGCCACTTTTGCAGGCAGTGTGCAAGACTGGGTTTCACACTGTGCCTCTGAATTTACATACTGGGATTAAAAAAAGAAAAAAAAAAGGGTTTAAAAATAGCCATAGGTTTAGAGAAGCCAGGGAGACAACAAACCTCCATCTTCATATTTACAAAGCCTTCCATGTAATTCGATCACTGGCCAATTTTATCCTCTGTTTAATTTGATCTAAACCTCTGCAACCACATCAGCAGCAGTAAAAATAACAGGACTGCCATCCTTTATTTTAATCAGGTCTGATATTGCCAAGCAGCTCTTAGATCACAGTTTGGTCACAGGGCAGCAGAGCTGTTCTAACTGACAAGAAATGTTTGTCTTTGGGCAGCAGAGGCCACAGAAAAAGTGAAAAAAACTTGAGAAAGAACCACATTTTCAATAAATTTGAGTGATGCACAGTGTTATATCAGAAATGCTACTGAATACACAAAGGCTGTGCTGGACAAGGTGTTATCATGTGCACAGCAAAATCAACAACAGGAATCACCCAGCACAGCAGAAGCAACTCAGCCAAAATCCTTGTGCAAGTCACAGACCAACCAACTCACAGGGCACTTCTGACTCTGGGAAGTGTGGAGTTTTAAGAACTGGTTTTGTACTAAGCCAGTTCTTTCCCTGAATCAATGTGACTACACCCCACTGCAGTGGCTTTTACCACCTGCCCAATTCCTGGAGGTTGCCCCAACACTCCTTTCTTTCCCAGCCACACAACCTTTACAGCTTCCCTGCAACAGCTCTGACACTCATCTTAAAAATCTGGCAGAAAATTAAACTAAGAATAACAAAAAGGGAAGTGTGACCTTTTTTGGGGGCCCACAGGCAAGGCAGGGGGAGAATATGATGGGATTAGAAAGGCAGGAATGGAAAAACTGAAACAAAAGCCATGAGCTACACTATCTTCATTATTACGACCTACATCATTATTATTATGATGATTATTTGAGTTGGTCACATGCCACAAAGCCTTTCTCAGTTCAGGTTATCTGACCAAAGCTCTGTATCAGGTGTGGGATCTGCTTATTTATCCAAGTTGTAAAACTTAAGTAAGTAGATATTTGCTGGGCTACAAGAAAAGATTAATTCTAAGTCCAGCACAAACAGGGACATGGATTGGACCTGGGTCTTCTACTTCCCTCAGAATTGTGTCTCTTGGATTATCAGCCCACCACAGGATTAGAGGCCTCCTCCTGCTCATCACTTGCCATCAGGAGATGGAGGGGCCACACATAGTTAAGGTTCTCAAATTTAACAGTTAAACCCACATTTAACTGTTTGGGCCAGATTTTGGGTTTGATAGATCAGTATTTTCTGAAAAACACTTCAACATAGAATTCCTAAGCAGCCTGTGGATCCCACAGAAAGAGTTTTCCTCCGTTTCAAAGAGCCAACAATGAGGAAACTTCCCTTGCAAGTCCCAGAAACGCTCCCAAGTGCAGAGCTGCTGCTTTAATCCAGAGTTTTCTCCAGGCTGCAGGGACAAACAGGCTGTGGAGCTGTGCAGGTGGAGCTTAGCTGGCTATAAATAAGAGCACAGTTTGATCTTTGGCTTTGCCGAGGCTGGAGGGCTGCCAAGTGTTTCTGGAAACTTGGATGGAACAGAACAAGAACAAATATGATAAAATGAGCTGGGCCTGACAATGATTTATAGTCAGTGATCACTGCTCTGTGCTCACAGTCTGCACTTCTGGAGTAATGTTTCACTTTGCAATAAACTTTGTTTTTTCCATTCCTAAGGCTCTATTCTCCCTCTCATCTAACAGGGACTGAGCATTGAGAACCCCTGAGCTGCAGCAGCTCCAGCACTCCCAGTGCAGCTGATGGAAAAAAACAAGGAGGGGGGGGGGGGGAAAATCTACGCAGGAAAGAAAAAAAAAAAGGAGGTGTTTGCCCTGTACAATTTAACCATGAATGTGTGCAGAGAAAAGGGGTTGAAATATGAACACAAACTTCCTGAACACAGGGCAGAGCACTCCAGTGCTTGTTCCAACAGTCAGTTCCCTAAACAAAACTCACTTTTATGACGAGATAACTGTAAAACTTATCAGGAAAGAGAGACTCAGGCCTTTCCCTGCCAGTGTCAGCACATGACCCTCCTTCCCTCCCTGACTCCAGGCAGCCTCCTGCCCACAAAGGTTCTTTGTTGGATGGTGGAATCAGCTGCAAACACGGGTTTCTGGGGCCTGGCTGAGCCCTGACAGAGCTCCTGCAGGAAGGTTTGCACAAGGAGAGAGCAAAGCCCCCAAATTCACTGCAGCAACTCCCTGAAAGGCTCCCAGAGAAACAAGAGCTCAAAAAACTCTCCCCAGCCAGGGCCTGAATTATTAAAAACACCAAGAGACCACCAAAGTTCCCCCCATTAACCAGCTCTGTTTTAGAACACCAATCTCACTTTAGTAGAAGCTGACCAAGAAAACAACCCTTTTATTTTTGTTCATGCCTTCAAATACTTTATCAGTTAACCACCTTAAAAATTCATCCATTCATTCCTATCACTTTTCCATGAGTAATTTATCTTGCACTGTACCTTATTTTTTCACTTATATATTCATGTCTCTATATTTTCATTTATATCCCCATGTCTGTATTTTTTCACTTATATCCCCATGTCTCTATATTTTTTCACTTATATCCCCATGTCTCTATATTTTTTCACTTATATCCCCATGTCTCTATATTTTTTCACTTATATCCCCATGTCTCTATATTTTTTCACTTATATCCCCAAGTCTATATTTTTTCACTTATATCCCCATATCTGTATATTTTCACTTATATCCCCAGGTCTATATTTTTTCATTTCTGTACCCATGTATATATTTTTCATTTATATCCCCATGTCTACATTTTCATTTGTATACCCATCTTTATGTATTTCCTAATAAAGTTCTATACATTGAACAAGGCCCCACTGACTCAGGCCTGTGCAAAATTTACCCAGTGCAGCACATTATATTTGCTCATAAAGATAACCTTTTTAGGGGAGGAAAAACAAAAAAAACAAAACAAAAAACAAAAACAAAAAACCAAAAAAACTAACCAACCAAACAAAAACCCCCAGAACCAAAACAAAAAAAAACCCACAAAAAGCCAAAACCAACCAAAAAAAAAAAAAGAAAAAAATTTTAAAAAAAGGAAAAAAATTAAAAAAAAGAAAAATTTAAAGAAAAAGAAAAAATTAAAAAAAAAAATTAAAAAAAAGAAGAAAAAATTAAAAAAAATAAAATAAAGCAAGAGAAGCAACATGAACTTTAAAGGCTGGAGGGAATAAATCATTTCCTACCACTTCATCCTCAGTCCAACACTTCTCAATCAGCTTTGGCACAGGTTTCTTCACCAGGCGCTGCAGGGCCTTCCCAGCATCGTAGTTGCTTTCATGGAGCTAAAAAAGGAGGGAGACAAACAGATCATGCCATGGAATTTAGCAGGGAGCTGATATTTGGGAGAAAAACCACCATAGGGAGCCCACTGAGATGTTCTCTGCCTAACTGTTTTTCCTGTGGACGTCTGAAGTGAGATTTAAACAGGCTGAAGGGTAATTGGGGTATGTTTTCCCTTTCCTTCCTAAACCTCTCCCAGATAATGTTGGAGCCCATAAAGCACTGAAAGCTTTCACCAAAAAATATTATTTTTACATTAGCAATTCCAAGAAAAATTATAAGGAGCTCCAACAAAGTGTTTTTCAAAAGGAGTTGTATTTTACACAGCAAGTTTTGCTCAGATCAGTAAAATCAAATGGAAAAAGTAACACACACAGGAGGGACTGCAAGTCATGGGATGTCGAGTTTACCCATCCAGAAAATTCCCTTTATTTTTCTGGCACTGCAAAGATCACCATGGTGTTGGAAAACAAGTGTGGAAGGGAACAAACACCTCCAGAGAGCAACCAGGGATGTCCAAGCTCACCTCACCCTTTCAGAGCCAGAGCCTACAGTGCACCTGATTTTTCTCCCCCAAATTCAGTATCTAGAGGATCAAAAGTAGACAGGAGACATGAAAAATCAGGGTGGGGTAGGAAAACAACTGCATGGAAAAAAGCATTAATGGAGCCCATGAGAATCTCTGGCTCTTCACTCGATAGGAAACTGCAGATTTAGGGCCTGTCCTGCCTTCCAAGTGGAATTTTAAGCACTGAAGGAGTGGGAAGGAGCTTGCTCTGTGTTGTCTGAAAAGGCTCTCAAAGAAAAGAAATATTGCTGGGATGACAAAAACTGAATTATCTTCCTACACCATTTGCATCCCAACTTCTCTGCACAGACAGGAGGTTGTTTTTTTAAGCACAGAGCAGAGCAAACCTTCAGAGTTGTTCATGAGCAGCACGGAATTCTACAAAAGACCCTCAAAGGTTTCTTTACAGCAGGGAACACCAAACCAGGGCCCTTATATTGCTTCTCTTGTCTTAACTCTTCAGCAAAACCAGCTTTTGACAGTCTCTAAACCCAATCCATTTGGAGGATAAAATATGTTAGAAATCCCATTGTTTTCTTCAATAACCAAACCCTTGCACATGAACTTGAAGGCATTAAAAGTAACAGCTCATTTATTCCATTTGCTGGTCAACTCTCAGTTCAATAGTTTTGGGCCTCCTTTAGAACATCTGAAGAGCTGAGTCCCCAGAACACAACTGGATCAACAATTATTAGTGAACACTGGGGTCCAAAATGAAGAGGAGCAGGGGAGCTATAAAAGCAGATCCTTTGCAAAGACCTCTCAAAAATAAAGCCACAGTGAGGGGGCTGAATGTGATGTCAGCTGAGTTCCAGAAGAAATTAATACAGGATGGGTTAAATTCACACAAACTGCCTCAGATCTTCTCTCACCAGGAACAAATCTTGAGCTGCTGAAGGTGCTCTTCCACCTCCACCAAGTTACTGGGGCATTCTTTATTTTTGAATACTTAAGGGAATTTTGAAGGAAGTGAAGTACTTCTAAAAATAAAAGGTCACTCCTGGGCACAGACCTCTGCCCTTACACACAGTGTGTTTTCACCTTCCTTAACTGGAGGCCTGAACACACACTTTTTTTCCCCCTTACCAACAACTAGCAACTTACCAACACCAGCAAACAGGGTGTTTCTGCAGTGCTTGAATAATATAATGGGGACAAGAAAGAAAACTAAGCCAGAGTGGATTTGTATTCATGTTCAGCTTTCAGATGGCACCTCCAGGGGAGCTGCAGGTACTTGGGGCAGGAATTACAGGCAGAGTGACCACAGCAAACAAGGCTTCAACTTCCAAAAGTGATCTAAGCCCAGGTAAGAGCAGAGAGCTGAGCCTGCAGTGCTCAACCACCACCACTAACTTCAAAAAACCAAAAAAAAAAACAAGTAAAAAAAGCAAGTTTCAAGCCCCCTGTGGTATCTGCAATACCCACTTCCAGGCATGGAAATAAGATGTTGCCTTTTCTACTGGGTACACATTAATTTTCCTCCTTGTTTGCACTCCGGCACTGGGAACAAATCCATCTTAAAGCAAAAAAGCACTGTTTGTTTTGCCAGCTCACCTTGCAAATGGTTGGGTTTTTTTTTTGTTTCCCTGTGCATTGCACTACCCAGAAGATTTTTCACTTAGGCAATGTGACAGTGTTGAAGAGAATGGTGCTTCTGTTTCCCTTCCCTCTCTGCTCCCTCCCCAAGCACCAGGAATGCCAAAGCCTCTTTGGAACTTGGAGGGCATCTTTATTTTGCCTCAAGGACAACACGTGGTTTTTTTCCCCTGGCAGCCCTTAATTGCCCAAGCAGCTCCATCTCTGCAAACAAAATCAACCAGAGAAGCCCAGAAAGAATGGCCTGGCCTGACAGAAAAGTCAAAGTTTACAGGCCACCAAGACCGTCCCAAATCAGCGACAGAAAATACAAGCATTGACTTTTGATCAAGTAATTATATTAATAATATAATAGTCACCAAACCCATCAGCACAGGCAGGAAAGAAGAGTCACCTAACAGAGAAGACACACGTGTAAAAACAGACCTGATAAAGGTTTAGAGTCTCCTGAAAAATGTTACTTTTAGCAAGTAAAAAAAAAAAGGTTTTTAAATGCCAGGAGTAGGATAATGCAGCAGGAAGGAAAAATATTTTCTCTAAGTGCTGGAGTTAAATTTACCTGTCTCAATCTGGCTCATTCTCTGCTTATTACTTGCAGTCATTTAATGTATCTAAGCACTTTATTGGCAAGATTCAAACATATAAATAACAGCTAATGATGACTGCCTCTGGGTTCATTAACTTCTGGTTGAACTTCTCAAGGTATTTCTATAAACACTGGGTTATTGTCCTGTCAGGTGCAGAATCACCACTTTGAGCATTAACTCTGCCATCTCTGTTTTGCACCACTGTGACTTTCTGTCAGCCCCCAACTGCACCAACAGGAACAGACACAGAGGTGCTTTAAACCAGAAAATACAGGATTAAAGAACGACTCTGAACGTGCCCATGTCCAACCCCCTCATTTCTATTACAGCAGTCATTAAACAACAGCAGATCCCAGGGAAGGCCTATTACCAGCCAGGCTGCACATTCCCACAAGGTTTCCAGCCCCTGCTCCCGAGCAGAGCTGCCATTCCTGTCTGTGATGCTGCAAATAAATTCTCCTCTGGCACGGCTCAGCTGTCAGGCACCTCTGGGCTGTAATGAACCCATGAATTACATCTTGCAGCTCTGACATCTCTGGGCTTGCTCATCAAAATATTGTTCTTCAATTGTAATTTATAACTTAATTTAAATGTCCCTTTTACTGTGACCTTTTTAGCTCAGAGTGCCATTGCATCTGGCAGTTCCAGCTCCAGCAAGGCATCCTTTGGCAATTACAGTCATTAGGAGCTGCCTTGAAAAGCCCATCTGAGTTGGGCTGCATTCATGGCACAGTGTTAAATAATTGCAGTCCATTAAGAACAGTTACATTCCAGAGTCCTTTTCTCCAAGGAAAAATTGCTGCTGTCTGGTGGGACAGTGTTATTGAACTAGTTGGATATGACAGAATCCCAGACTGGTTTGGGTTGGAAGGGACCTTAAAGTTCATCTTCTTCCATCCCCTGCCATGGGCAGGGACACCTTCCACTAGCCCAGGTTGCTCCAAACCCTGTCCAGCCTGGCCTTGGACACTCCCAGGGATGGGGCAGCCACAGCTTCTCTGGACAACCTGTGCCAGGGCCTCCCCACCCTCACAGGGAAGGATTTCTGCCAAATATCCCATCTAACCCTTCTCTCTGTCAGTGTGAAGCCATTCCCCCTTGTCCTGGCACTCCAGGCCCTGTAAAGAGCCTCTCTCCATCTTTCTTGTTGCTCCTTCAGGTCCTGGAAGGCCACAATTAGGTCACCCTGGAGCCTTCTCTTTTCCAGGCTGAACAACCCCAGAAAGGATTGTTCAGTCAGAACCCACTTTTGTGGGGATACAGCCACATCTTTGTGGGGATACAGCCACATCTTTGTGGGGATACAGCCACATCTTTGGGGGGATACAGCCACATCTTTGGGGGGATACAGTCACATCCAGCATTTATAGGGCAGCACTGGAATTCCAGAGTTCGCCCCGTCCCAGTGCTGGTTCTTCCATGGAACGACCACTGGTCCCAGACAAATCACATCCCAGGATGAGAGAGAAGGGAAAAGATGAGGAAAATGAAAAGCAGGATGAGGATTCCTGCCCTGTGGCTGGAGTAGCCCCGTCTTTGGGTGGAATAACTCCAACCCAACACCTGATTTAACACAAAATGTGATTCAGGCCACTTCCTTCAGAAGCAGAGCTGACAAATCTCAGTTGGATGTGGATATTCCTCATAGCTATGGGCATCTTGCCCTACTGTGAAAATGGAATATGCTCCATTTAATTTTTATCAGCCCTGGCTGATACCCAGCAAGACAAAGGAGCCCTTCAGGGCATTTGGTGCTCTTGTCTTGTTGGGTATCAGATAAAACCAAACCAAAAAAAAACCCCAAAACCTCAATTTCCATCTCTTCCCCTCAGTTCTCATCTTTTTAAGCATCTAAACAGCTCCAATGGCTTCCAAATGATCTAAGATGCTACTGATAAAGGTTGAAAAGCCTGGTATTTGTGATGCAGCCACTCTGCACACACTGGTACTGCCAAACAGCCCAAAATCCAGCTGCAAAACAGCTGTGGGGCACTGCAGGCATGGCCAGTGCTCCACACACACCCAGGGCAAGAACTTGAAACAGCATTTAAAAAAAAACTTCCAGAAAACACAAATATTTTTGCATACTCCTCAAAAACTTTAAAAGCAATCACAGCAGTCATTTTTGACCCTTTTTATCTGCCTGTTTCAACAGTTTCTGTAGAAAGGCTTTCTGACTCATCTAGCAAATAAAGTGCTGAAGTTTTTCCCCTAAGAGCAAGGATAAGGATGAATGGAAATTCAAAGTGGCCAAATTGTCTCATGCACTAGAGGTGGCTTCATCTCCCAACGTGCCCAGGCAGAGAGCACTGGCCCCTGAAGTGCTCCAGCACCTCGTTTGAACCATGAGAGTAAATGTTAATTAAGACTCATCCAAAAGGAAAACTGGTAATAATAAGAAATGCTAACATATATTTAAATAATTTTTTTTTATGCTTTCAACCTTGTCTGTAGTTAATGAACAAGAAAATCTGGTCTAAGGGCAAGTTAAAACAGGGAGTAATTTGTCTGGGTGACATCTAAGTTAGAACTGCATTTCCTTAAACTGATATTACACTGTCATGTTTGTCACTCATAATGACATGTTCCCATGTAACAGTGTGATGAGAAGGCAGAACAACACTATTAGTAAAGAGAGATTTACACAATATTAGCATATGATTGTTGTGTCTCCCCTCCATGTAGTAGTACCTGAGCTGCAGTGGTGCTGTTTTTTCCCCGTGTGAGGATAGATGAGAGTTGCTGGCTCTGATTTCCCCAGCAAAAATATCACAGCCTCAAAATGCCCAAAAGCTCAGAGGTTCTGCTCAAACACCAGGTCTGCACATGGGCATGCCCAGATTCTGGTCTAGGGGTTGTTGTTCCATAGAACTGGTTCTCACCCTCACTCCTGGATCACAACAACAGGTCAGGCAGAACACTGGGGATGAAATGTCACTCTGGAATTTTTCCAAACCCAGCACAAAGCAGTGAATTAACTCCTCCTTGGGCTGGGATCTGTGAGAACAGAACTGCACAACCTCTGACCAGCAGGCACAGGTCAAAAGGATAACTGAGGTCAGGAGTTTCTGACACAGAGAGGATCTCAAACCACATCTGAGGCTGGAGCAGAGCTCCTGAGGGCACGGGCAGAGAGATGGGAGGGAGGGGAAGAGCTACCCCAGGATTTAGCCCAGCTCTCACCCCACACAACCCACCAGCAGCAGGCTGAGGTTAAACATTCACCATGGCACACCCTCCCACGGGTTGGCAGAGCTGGGGCATCCCCTTTCCAACACAGAACTTTCTGAGTTCGTTTCTCACCACATCTTGTGGTGAAAGCCTTGCAGGAGCTGCTGTGTCCTCCTCCCCCCCTCCCAGCCTGACCCCAGAACTCATCAGCAGGGCAACAAACTCCAAAATGAAAGCTTGATTTCCTTCCTGAGGGTTACAATGACAAATGTGGCAGCAAATCCCAACAGCCAAACAAAGGAACGGGAGCTGGAGTTTTACCTGGCACGTTAAGTGAATAATCACTTCAATGAGGCTGAGATATAAATATAAATATATATGTCTGTATGTTGCACTGTGCCTTCCATGATCTTCATTTCTATCTGGTATAATTAACAATAAATCATTCTAGGGGCTTGCAGCACCTGTTATTACATAAATAAAACACCAGCAAAGAAGCTTGTCAAGACTGATTTATGTGAAGTGCTGCTCTGAAGTTTATTGGATTTCCATAATAAGAAATCATACCCTATCAGTTTCTTTTACATTCATCTTCTGGGTTGCATATGATAATTTCTAAACAAAAACACAACTTAGTGCAGGTTAAGAGTCTCACAAATTATTTATCAGATAAATCTGATCCATTTTAAATAGACAGTGAGAGATAAAAAAGAGGTGCCATTTTGTCAGGACAACAAATTTAACTGTTTTAAGTCAGTCTTTCAAAAAGCAGGTTCTCAGAAATAAGTCAAAGTCTCTTAAAATATCCCTGACAGAACTATTAATTATTAGGAAACTCTTTGCTAGAAAAACTCCAAGTGGACAAGGAAAGTATTTTCTAAAATAGATGTGCAATACAAAGAGAAAAGAATTAGAAGAACACAACCAAAATATTTTGGGACTAATCTAATTCAGAAGCAAGAATTCTACAAGTGCAATTACAGACTCCTCGGGCTGCTGAGTGATTAAAGGGGGTAATTAAAGTAGATGGCAAAGCAGGGAAGTTAAATGAATTTTCTGCATTAGTCTTTTATTATAGATAAGGGGAGAGAAACTCCAATTCCAAAAGCTCTTTGATGATTTTTGACCTTAACAGGAATTTGAGCCTCTGAGAAGGATGTTAAAGAACAGTTCAGCAGGCTCTGGAGTGGTGAGCCAGCAGGAGCAGGTGGCATCCATCCCAAGGAAAGGCAGGAACTAAAATGGAACACAGGTAAGAACCTGAAGAGGATGTGCAATAGAGACTGAACTGCAACACTGATCAAACAGCATAAAAATCTGCATCACACAAAACCTTCAGGAAAGGAACCAAAGGACTGGGATTTCTACACTCCCCTCAGTTCTGGGAAGCACTGAGAAATAACATCTGACTTTGCAGAAGTCAAAGGGAGAACAACAGGGAAGGATTTAATTTGGGTGCAGAATTTGATCTTGGATTTCAGCTCATTACACATTCAAGTGTGTGTATTTGAACAAGAATGAAAGTTCTGGCACTGTTTACTTAGTAAGTATTACAGGGGAACATTTGAGATCTTAATACTGTTTTACTCCTGCCTGTTGCAGGATGAAAACTGATGCACTCTCTGAAACACATGAAATCAAACAGAAGTGGAAATCAAATAAAAAACCCCAAAGCAAGTGGTTTTGATAAGCTAATGCTACACAGGGAACATTCTCCCTGTTAAGAATGCAGGCATTTGAACCTCAGTTAACATTTCAGACTGGCTGGACTGAATGGAAGGACCAACAGCCGGGTCAAGGGCCAGCTGACAAAGTCACAATTCCAGCTGGTGGACCTGAGCTGAGCACACAGAACATTCCCTGGGATCCCCTTAAAGGCACCACCCAAAAGTTCAGCACTGAAGTTCCACAGCTCAGAAAATGGGTTGGGGTTTGAAAGGAACGTTGAGCTACAATCAGCCTCATATTGTGATCCCTAAATCTGTTTTATCTCCTGTTTTATGCACTGAGGAGCCCAGAAATAACTGGGAAGGCTGTTCCTCCCTGCAGGAGTTGTACTCACTGTGTTGAGGGCGTTCAGGGTGGTGTCGTCACGGGAGGCAGCGACACAACCGTCCTCTGTGGATCCTCCATCACACATCCCTGCAAAGGCTGCCATGCTCCTGTGGAGTTTGAGGGCAAAAGAGTTGACATTCCTCAGCTGCTCTTTGATGCACACATCATGAGAGGCATAAAGAGTGTATTTACAGCTTAAATCATGAATTTCGGGGCCTTGTGGCACTGTGGGAACGAGGAGAACGAGGCACCGAATGCTGGTGGTTATGGAAAGCTGAGTCACCTCAGCATATGGAATAATTGTTTCATAATTAAAATCCAATCTAATTGGGTTTCATCAGTTAAAAATCTGCACTGCAGTAGTACCAGAGCCTGATGAGCATTAAGGAAGATACAACCTCCAGACATGAGAACAGTCTCAGCAGACAGCAAACTTTTTGCTGTCATCTTAGTTTTATTATGTCAAAAAAACTAAACTGAATTGCAGATTCCCCAATCTCTGAATTCCTACAAGCTACAAGTAATTTACTAAGACTCTGAATTACTGTGAATCTTCCAGGCAAACCAGAGATGTGTAAGGAACTGAAATGCAAACTGAAGCTCCAAACAGGAATCCTGTGCTGTCACGGCTCTTCCACTCAGAGCAGTTCCTTTCCTTCTTCCACCATGCCCATCCCACACTGGATCATGCCAGCACACACTGCTGGCTTTGCATTTTAAAGCCAAAAGTCACAGCTGATGCAAAGATGCCTTGTTGGCCCAACAGCAAATCTGAGCATTCTGGTCTCAAACATACATTTCAGCAGCCCCATTATCCCGAAAGAGAATAAAGGAGGGATTGGATCCCACTGCATAGACACAGCACCCCACATTCCCCCTCCAGCATGACCCAGGCACTGCAGGATGGTGGCTGGAATTACCTGGCTGCCCTCAGGTACATCAGCAAGTCACAGTCGTTGACTCCTGGCATCCACACGAGCTCTTCGTGCTGGGTCACCGTGTCACCGTCCGGGGAAGGGAAGGGCTGCAGGTCAGGGAGCTTGGCCTGGGTAAAAACGGGGTTCAGACACACATGACAGTTCTTCCTAATGTTAGGAAGCTTGTAAATTCTCTGCAATACTATGATCTCATAGATGGAAGATACTCAGGCAACAGGTGGTGAAGCTACTTGCTCCAAGTTTTCAGAAGTTTATCAGGAAACTGGGTCATCAAGCCCCAACCCATTCCCTTTATTCAGCATTTCTTCCTCCAGAAGGGCAGCTCATTTCCTGACAATTATGCAGGTTAACACCACTTCTCAGCCCAACACACAGACCAAGCATGTCTGCAGAAATATCAGGGCTTGAAAGGAAACCATTTTGTACTGCAAACACAGCCCTCTGTTGTACAGAAGTCAAACACTGATGGACAATTTATCCTCGGAGACAGCGATTGCATTTGTAACAAAGATGCTGCTACAACTCTGTTTGCCAGGCTATAACATACTCACAGAACATACTAATAAGAGAGAAGGCAAGAATGTAGCAACCATATGTGTCCCACTTTAAATTAGTAAAAAAACCACACACATGTGATACTAAATTTAAAATTAAATCCTCGGTAAATCATTTAAACTCTAAAGAGAAACAAAGACATTTCCTGAAAGCGAGATAGCTCAGCAAAATGAACCCTGCCACTAAATAAGTATTACACTACTCTATCCAGAGACCCAATTAGCATCTTTAGTCATCTACTGCTATGAGATGAGATAGCTGAGAGCCTCTTCAGAAACAGCTTTTAAGCCCTATAATTACCTCCTATACTTACAACGCTAAACGTATTTGAGAGGCAACATTTCTACATAACCAGTAATTACAAGTCACAGGTTCAGATGTCTTTCATGTTCTGCTCTTTAATCTGTACTTTATTTTACTTCTTGCCTGGGAAAATGGATATGTCATTGAACTTCTCTTCTGGAAAAGGATAAGCCAGCATTATCCCCAGCTGAGGTTTCTGGAGGAGCCATGTGCTCCAGTAGCCGGGGGACTTTGCACAAATCCATGTTCAGCCTCCTGTACCCTTGGAATGTGCTTAATTACTGGAGTCACTCCCAAAAGCAACTTCCTCTTGAGCACAGAATCACTGAGGTAGGAAAAGACCTCCAGGATCACCGAGTCCAACCTGGGACCCATCACCACCTTGAGCACCGAGTGCCACGTCCAGTCTTTCCTTAAACACTTCCAGGGATGGGGACCCTCCACCACCAGGGCATTAATTAGCCAAAAGCTGTCACAGGAGAACATTCAGTAGAGACCCTCTGTCCTCCTGTGCCAGTGAGTTTGGAGAACTGCAACTCCACAGCACATTTATCTTCACTGTGTCCTTGTCTGCTGTGATGACACATGAAGCACTTCGGGGTATCTGTGCTCTAAGTAAAAACCGACCCAACAACAGCCTCCAGCATCTCTAACACACACTGTTTAAGGAAAAAGAAGGCAAGAGATTCATAAAAAACTACCCCCTGGGGACCTCAGCGTTGTTTCTGGGTTCTGCTGGATGTACTTTGTGCTCACTGAGGTGGGTGGAGGGAAGTGGATCCATATCCACTCCCTGAGTCAAGCCCAGGGTGCACAGGAGACCCTCTTACACCTTCCACAGACGGAATCAAACGACAGGACAGAGAGCAGCAAATACCACCTTCAGCCTGACTTCCCACCAGGGCCACCACAATCAGCCATTCCTGGATCTTAAGATGACACCTTACACTAATTACCAGGCTGAGAAGAACCCTCTCAGTGGTGACATTTGTCAGGGTGTACAGGGATGCTCAGCAGGTGAGGGAGAGAACAATGCAAGTTTAAAGCACTAAGCAAGCAAGGATTTAACAGTGTTCTAAATCACTGGACCTTCTCCCTGCTCTAGGTTTTTTTCCCCCCATCCATAAATGCATCTGGTAATTACACCTTCCAGCACAGGTGACTAATGCCTGCCAAAATATTAGATGACAATTTGAGATGAAAGTTGTTTTGAAGGTACCATTTACAGTGCTCTTATTATAACTGTGGAAAAGAACAGCACAGGTTGAATTGCCAAGGACGTTTTTCCTCTGAAGCAAAACATCCTTAAGAATGTTACATAAATATTTACTTTCACTTGTTATTAAACAACATTTTTAAAAGGGTCTGAATGAATATTCATCACTTGGATGTGAAAATCCAGTACTTGGACAGTGCAAAGTCAATTCTACAAGTAAAGGAGAGGATTCAGTTCCCAGTGACAGATCTGGCTCCATGAACCACAGTAAGTTGTATGTTAATGCTCTTTAGGAACAGATTATTTTCATTGCTTATGAAGGATTTCCCTCAAATTAGCACTAAAATATCAGGCACAACTACAGTCTTAACCTTATTCTGCTTCCCAGTGTTGAACACACTCACCTTTCTCAATTCCTCTTTGAACAATCCAAAGGACTTAAGGCACTTTTTAATTTCCAGTAGATCTCACAGTGCTTCAATCTTATTCAAGAATTAACCCAACAGCACTTCTGCTAGTAAAAATCATTAATATATCAACATCTGTCAGAAAACCCTGGGCTCAGGAATTCTAAAGGACTCACTAAAGTGAGTCATCTAAAGATGATTCTAAAAAACTCGCCGGGTTTGAACAGATGTAATTTTAAATCAGCATCATCTGAACAGATCAAGAGGCAAAAGCATGTCCAGATGTTGGGATACAAACAAAACCCCTTACCTGATGGCTGGGTCCAACTCTGATTTCACCTTGGGTACTGTTTAGCCTCCTAAGATATAAAAAAGAAACCAGCAATGAGAAAGAATTGCAATTCATAAAATTCAGGGGCACGTTCTGTCATTTCTTTTCATTGCATTTCCAATGCAAACGGAAGAGAAGCAAAAATAAATGTTATTAAGAAAACAAGGGGGGATATAGTCAGGTGTACACTGAGCAAGCTGGTGTGGCAGGAGGTGTCCCTGCCCATGGCCAGCTCCAAACCCTGCCATGCAGAGTCACCTTCCAACAAGCTCCTGACCTGGACAAATCCTGGGATCCTTTACTTGTTTCAACCCCAAACTAATGCAGAAAACATGGCAAGTATTATCCCTCAGCAAAACCACCAAACCATTAAATCCCATTTGATGCCAGAAAGGTCACTGGAGGGTGTTTTTTTATGTGATAATATCATGTCTTTATGAACACTTTCACCTCAACATTTCAAAAATGTTGTTTAAATAGGTGTATTAAGTTCAACTTCCCCTCACTGACCACTCTGAACTGTAAATCACCAGTGCCCAAGTGTGGATCTGAACAGGCCTTACCCAGGAGAACCTGTCAGACAGGAATAAACACTGGGTTTGTAACACTCCATCCTGTGCCCTGATATTTTGGCAATGTTACCCTTCCTAGGAAGCAAATCCACTCCAAAATATAATGCCAAGAGCATCCTGACAACAATAAGAACATGTCAAAATGTTTTCCCCCCCAAATGCATATTTTTGTTAGACACGCTCTGACACTGTTCTCTTGTTTTCAGGTTATGCAAAGGAATGATTGAACTAGGAAATCAATTTTATATTTACAAAGTTACACATTAAATACCAGGGTACTTTTTTTTTTCCAGCTACAAGGTGTCAGAATTTTTCCCTGTGAGGAAGGAAGGGGAACCTGACAAGAGAAAATGCTGATGGCTCTTCCTTTATCCCCAGGATTCCTTTTAAAGCCGTGCACATCTCTGCTAGTCAGTGCAAGTCAAACCTAAAAACATGCCTGGGCAGTGGCTGCCAGCTCCAGTTCTGCACCCCAGCCAAGGGCTGCACCAGCAGGTTTTGTATCTGCACAAAAAATTGGGCTGTTTTCAGTTTAAATATGAAAAACCCCAGCGCTCCAAATATCCCCCCAACTCCCAATTTCTTCAGTTGCACCACAGTGAATATGATAAATACAGCATTTAATAACCAGGGCTGGAGGATCCTGTAAGGAACTGCAAAGTTAAAACCAAAGTTTTGGATGAGACTTCTGCTCCCATCTCTTCCCACAGAAACTCAGTGGGGTTATCCAACCATTTCCCACGTGAAATGTGGAGAGAAACAGTTCTGTGGTGCCTTTCCATCACCCTTTTCTGATGATGTTCACACCCTCCCCTGCCCCAAAGGTGAGGACAGGGCTGAGTGAAGCTGCTGGGCAGGCTGCTCTCCATCCCACTTGGATTGTCAAAGGGCACAAAGCCCATGGCTCTGCCAGGGCACACAAGCTGTTCCATAATTTTCACTGGTTCCACGTCCCCAGGAATGGGTTTCAGATGGAAAAGAAAATTCTCGTGACGGAAACTAAAAGGCACTGTAGGTTTTAAGCTAAATTATATTGGTGAGAGCAATTACAAGGAGAATGGAATGGCATCCTGTGTTTATTCCATGGGAAAGGGGGAAAAAAAGCAGCCAACACTGTATATGAAATGTGACACAAAAGAAACTGCTGTAACAAAGCAGTATCCATAGCAACAACAACTTAATATTTCAGTCCTCTTCAGCTGCAGTGGATTAAATATAATGACAAGATGTTCCCTTTGAAAAGTAACCTGTTGCCATGACAACGTTGTGTTCTGCAAAGTAAACAGGGGCTGGTCAGAGAGGAGATGGAAGCCTGTGCTGGAATATCAAAAAGGCAGGAGCTGCTGTGGCAGAGCAGGGCAAAAGCAGCAGGCTCTGATCTGGGAGAGGCTTGTTCCCAACAGCTCCTGGAGAAGAGAGAGGATGTTCAGTTCAATAAAGCTTTGTCCTTCCCATTCTGAAGCAACAGGGGAGGTTGGAGGTTCAAGGCCAAAGGCAGCAGCGCTGAGAGAAAACAGTTCAGAGGTGAGGATGGGAAGGGACTGGAGGCAGCACAGGCTGGTGCAGAGCTTTCATTTACCAGCTTTAGGAAGAAGAAAGAGGAAGAAAGGTTGGGCACAACAGTTCCTGCACAATTTCCAATCCAGAAATAAGCTTAACCTTCTCTGTTTATCCCCTGCCTTCCTGTCCACACCAGGCTTGCCCCATTTAAACCAAGGGTGGCACCACTGGCAGCTCTGTCCATGAAAACGTGGCACTGCAATGCCAGGAAGGACTGGAATTCCCAGATGGAGCTGCCATGAAGCACAGCAGGACAGCTCTGGGGATAACTTGGGTTCAGGACTTGCAGCACCAACCACTGTTACAGCATGGTCAGAGCCAGGCAGGATTCAAGGCTGGGAATTCCCAGCAAAACTCTTGAGTTTGGGGGCAAGGGCCAAAGGCACTTGGAGGTTTCTGCACAGACTCCTCTGCACAGCTCTGCCCTGCCCTTGATGTGAATCCGAGTCAGTCCTTCCCCAGCAGGAGCAGGGAAGACCTTTGCCAGGTTCTGAGAGGAACTGCACACGAGGGGGACCTTCGGGGTCAGGGATGGCGTGTCCGAGGTGGAACCTTCGGAACGGTGCCACTGCTGCTTTCATCACTCCCTTTTTACTGCCAGGGTTCAGCAGGAGACATGCTAGGCAGTAATTGCACGTTTTTGAAGTGACTTGCATGCCTGAGAAGGGGCTGAGGGAGGTGGCACTGCTGCAGCATCACACTGAACCCACTCTGTTCTTCTTCCCTTCATTACAGCCAGCAGCAGACACGGTTTAATGTCCCTCTGCTGTGGCCACCACGCACTCAGTGCTCTCCACCACTGGCTCTCAAACATCTGCCACCAGCCAGCAACAGCTCAAACCTCAAAAAGAACTCAGTGATACCATTAAGTTTAAAAAAAAAACAAAACAACCCACAACAAAATACCCAAACAAAACCCCACAACCCAAACAGCACACACGGGCCAGAGTTCTGTGCTACCCACTGAACCACTCGGGGCATAATCACTCCTGAGTCTGTGCAATGAGGTGAGCCCTAATTAAATTAGAGGGATGCTTCCACAGAAGAAGGATTTTGAACTGGCCAAACGGCTCAGCCACAAACCTCCTCTCCAACAGTGTTTCTGAATCTCTTTGAAGCTCTCCAGAAAGAAAAGTTTGGAAAACCAACTTGCTAAAAGCGGCGGCCTGGTGCGACACGGGCGGGTCACCAACACCAACTTCACAGCACAAAAGAAGTTTCAACCATTAAACTGGGAGCTTTATCAGCCTGGAGCAGCTCTCCCCACCCCAGAATCCAGCTGGAGGAGGGTCAGGGCTCTTGGAATTGAGCCCAGGACCACCAAGACAGTGATTCCTGTGCACTGAGCCATCCCCAGGGGAGGACACGTTGTCAGCTAAGGAAGTGTGCAACACCAGCTGGAAGAGGTCATTAATTTTATATGACCAAAGATTAAAAGAGAAAAGACACAGCTCAAAGGCAGAATGTGCAGGGGGTGGGGCTGTTTGCTTGTTTTTAATAAGCAATAACAAGCTCTAGCACTGAACAATGAATCTGATGAGACTTGGGGTTATTTATGAAACTCAATGGCTTTACTAAATAAAACCATGTGCATTATAGACATAATAGATTATATACTGCAATTATACACTTAGCAGAGATGTAACCAAATTATTACTGGCCACATAATCAGTTACATCAACTGAGAGCGTGAGGCAATTCCTAGATATTTGTGATTTTGGTAAAATTAATACAAATCTCAAGTAGTTAGGAAAACAAAAGTCTCAAGGAAAGTTTTGGGGTTTTTTTTAAATCCTTTAATTCATATAATCCAATACCCAAGACGAAGAAACCCTGCTCTTCAGAGGCAGTTCTAAAAACATCTGGCAAGGATCATTTTGTTCCATCTCCAGAGGGACAAAAACGGGCGAGAACAAAAATTACTCCGCTCCAACTTCAGCTGATTAAAAAATAGTTTATCAGGAGCTGAAGGTGATTGGCATTGCAGGGAAGAGCATCTGCTTATGGTCACTGTTGGGACACAGGAGACTGAGCCAACTGGAGCCCCAGTTTTGACCTAAGATTATCTTATGCACATCATGTTCATACACTACAAAAGGGACAGGCAGGCTCAGGGCACTCAACCTTTAACCAAAAAAATCCCACAACTACCACAAATACCTGAGTTAAATATCTAAGAATAACAAGCTCCCTGATTTTCACCTGTCCAGCTTGCACTTGGCCCTTAAACCTTTTTTTTTAAGCAAGATTTTAAAATCCATTTCATAGAAAAAAATGTCTTAACCCTCAAAAAATATCCTGGTCAGCCCCTCTTAAGCTGAAGTTTCATTTAAAACCTGTTGTGACAGCGGGTCATAATTAAAAAAAAAAATAAATAAAAAACGCAGGAGCACTTTTATGTTCTGAGTGAAATATCCACCCTGTATTTCAGGCAAATGAACTTATAAGGGAACGTTTTCAGTGATTGCTCAATGTCAAGCAGGAATGAACAAACATGTCCCAACACTTGGATGCTGAGTGCAGGCTCAGACCTGCTCCCTGACTGCAGAGCCACAACCTGCAGGAAGCTGGGGGCTGTCCTGCCCCGTGCTGCTGTTTGCAGAAGGAAGTAGTTGCCCAAGTTTGAGTCAGACAGGAAAAGCTCTTTTCAAGATAACGTTATTTTTCATGTTTAAATAGGAGGGGGGAAAAAAAAGCCTATAGAGAGTCCTCAGCACTGTGCTCCACTCAAAAGGTAGGATGGAAGGGACCATAATTCAGCTGAGACAAGTTCCTGCAGAGGAAACAAGTGTTCTCTGCACACTGGAATTACCTGGGTGGGTGATATTTGCTGGCAGATTTCATTGATCACCTCTCTAAGACTTGTTTTCCAATATTTGTTCACCTTTCAATAAGG